TGTCTGCCGTGACACTCATCGAAAATTAGTGGACCCAATCTGGAACATCCTACGAAACAATAATTGCTTTACTGTCATCTCGTGTCCATGTTCTGCAGAAGCCGAACATAAGGGACAGATGAAAGGTGATGCTAAAGCCATTCGAGTCCGGTATCACACCACAGATAGAATTCTGCCACAAGCTTTCTCGTACATCACGGAGGTTCGGCGTGTGCAGGTTGACGCAGGCATTCGCATCATAGGAGAGGCTGCTTGGCGAAACTGCCAGCGCCTCCAAATTCTGCATCTCTCAAGCACAGTGATCTGCCTGCAAACCCGAGTCTTCCGCAGATGGTATGCTCTCCGCACGGTACTTGCTCCAGGCTGCAAACAGGGTGGAACCCAAGCTGTGGAAGAATGTTGCTCCTTAACGCAAATTGGAGTCAACAGTGATACGACCAACCAACTAGCCCCAGGCAGAGTTGATGCCTAGGGCCTTCGAAAAATGCACTGCGTTGCGGCACCTCGAGCTGGGACATCCCGATCATGACCGGTCCGGTACTTCCAGATGTTTACCTGAATGCTGCTTCCTTGAGGCTGGAATCGTGTCGCTGTCCCTGCCTCCAGATTTTACATGGATTGGACTTGCGGCCTGTGAACGATGTCTGCAACTGCAGCGAGTTGATCTCACATGTACAGAGGTTACTGAGATTATGGGTTCTGCCTTTGCACACTGTAAACACTTGCAGCACCTAAGGCTTCCGCATAAACTTCGGAGAATTGAGCAGGAAGCCTTTCTCAAGTGCACCTCCTTGAAAGAGGTCAGTGTCCCACCCACGCTGCTATATATTGCCAGACGTGCCTTCGCCGGCTGCACACAGCTCTGCCAATTTCAAAGAGTGGGAAAAAGCCTGACATGGAGGGGAACATACTCCAGAGCAAATGCTTTCCTCAAGTGTGACAACCTTGACATGCCGAAGTGGGTTCGTCTTCTGCCACTTAATCGAAAAGACGAGGACAAATGGACAGATGACTCCTATGCAATACCAAGTCAGTTTTAAGTGTCTAAAGATGCATGCTGCCGAGCCCTTCAGCTGGCACCCGTGTGCTGGCCCTGACTATGTTAGAGGCCACCTTTCTAGAGCACACGTTGCCATCACAATAGCAAAGCAGTACCCTGACTAGATCGCTGTCCATCAAAGCCACTTTCTTGCAAACGTTTTTGTAACGCGCCCATGACCATGACCATGACAACTACAGGACCAACAGGAAAGCCCTGCCACTAACTGCCACCAACTCTGGCATCAACCTGGCATCGACCTGCCTTATGCCTGCCCTATGCCATTCACCAGCTCAAGTTCAGCAGGCAGATTACGCAAGCACATTGTCCAACACCTCTCAGGCTGGCACCTGTGTGTTGGTCCTGAGAGTGCCACAACGTCTTGCCCTCCAAACTTGCTAGCCTAAGTAGCTAGGCAGTGCCCAGGCTGCTACCCGCGTAGCGGCACTGGATGGGTATAGTGTACAGTTATAGGAAAACGGTGTTTGGCTGTGCACGTGTTGGCCGATCTGCCTGGCCACTACAGAGAATTGTTACCATGTGCTTGACTGCTGCGCCTTTGAAGGGTATGCTACGCCTTCGCTGTCCATAGGGAGCGTCTCTCGCATTACTCGCGTTGCCAAGCCGTTTTGGAGTCTGTGCGGGATCGACACTCCCCCTCTTGCCTCCTCCCCCCTTGGGGGGAGGATTGGGACACGCTGCTTTCCAGCGTATCACTGCATGGTGGCTTTCGCACTGCTCCTTTTCTTTCGGCATTTTGGAGATCCCGTTAGCAAGTGCAGTGGTCTTCCTCGAATTGCCACATTATGCCAAACCTTGAGCCCCAGGTCATTGTGTGTAGCAAGTCCACTCAGCCGACATCCAGTTTGTCCCAGTTTGTCCATAGGGACCCCTTGTCGGCTAACACTTACACGACGCCTGATGCCCTTCATGCCTTTCAAGTGCATTGCAAGTACATAACTAGTACCTGCTGAGGGAGGTTTCGATTTGCCCCGTTACTATCTCAAAGTTCCTGGCTTTGCCATGAACTAGGCAAGTACTAATCAGTTTGTTGAGGGACAAGATGTACTGAGAGTTTTGCGGAATTCATTGCCCCTGTCTCACCTCTTCTCATACGGCCTCCATGGCCACACGAGTTGCGCAACAGGTTGCTTCCCTCTTCTTGGGGTTTTTGTGTTTTGGTTGTTTTGGTTGGGTTTTTTTTTGTTTCTTCTGTTTGGATTGCAACCTGTATAGTAACTCCTTCTTAACTCGACCAAGGTGACTTGTGCAGAACCTGCACACATAGCGCCTCGACTCGTGCAAAAAAAAATACCGCAGCCTATCGCGGGTTGACTTGTTTCCACCTGAGGGAGTGTTGATGGCCTTGGCTGTGCAGCCACAAACCCTGACAGCCCTCTGGATTTTCACCAAGCGCAGAGTGCAGCAGAACGATCAGCGCCAGTGGAGTATCATGCTGCCCACCAGTGCGCGAGTTTTACAAGAGGTACACGAGCCTCTCAGCTGTGCAGCCGAGTGCCAGATACTTGGCAAATCGCCACCTCCACAGGGAGTGGAGGGTGGGCAAAAGTGAAAATTTAACATGTCAAACCTGCAATCGACAACATGCGATGTCCTGTCAAATTGCATGAATGTTTGCAACGCAATGCGAACTTCAAGAACATGCAACAGATCAACATCTGAGCCTGAATAACGGTCGAACGGTTTGGACTCATCAAGCGAATGCTGGCAAGGTCGATGGCTCTGAGTTATGGCTGCTTTGACTGCGGTTTCGGCATTCGCTTGCTTGCCGGCAGCATGAAAGTAGTCTTGCAGATTCGTGGCACTGGTGCGCGTGGTTGTGAGTGCCAACAGCATCACTCTTTCGCACTTGTCAACTCATCTTCAAGATGTTGATGGGCGAGGACAGTCGGGTTGCGGGGTGATTCACTGCCTCGTCGCTCTGGGAATCGTGACACTTCGTTCCCTCTTTGTGCCCATAGTCCTTCCTGCAGTTCGATGTCCATATGCCTAGCCTGTGCATCACGTTGCAAGCACATGCGTTTGACATCACTTCGCATGTCGTTAATGCCTTTGGTTGTTACTTCATTTTCTGCCCACCCTCCACTCCCTGTGGAGGCCACTTCGTGTCCTCAGCAGCCTCCGCACTCATTTGTGCCATTCGAGCCTGAGTGAGTGAGTGAGTGAGTGAGCGAAGGAGTGAGGGAGTGAGGGAGTGAGGGAGTGAGTGAGTGAGTGACTTGGATGACCATACCTGGTTGTAACTATATTGCTAGTTTAAGGTTGACCTTGGCTCGGTTGCGTCATGGTTGGCTCAAATGTGTAAACTCATTTAGCCAACTTGCCAGGGACCAGTTTAGCGAGCTTACGCGGACCTGGTTGTTCTGTTTGTAAACTAGGTTGTGGTAGTTGTCGCTAAGTCAGCTAAACTGGCCAAACCGGCATCGCACGTTGTTTATGTCATCTACATGTTTGAAAACAAACGTGCGCCAAAACATTTTTCGCGATACCCCGCTTCAGTTGAGATGGAGCTGCGCATACTGTTTGCTGCCCTCGCAGCTGTAATGCCTATAGCTTCAGTCGAGCTGACATTCCGGTTGCCGCCACTACAACCGGATCTTTTCTCACCGTTGTGGAGTGGAGAGGGAATGAAAATCCCGCGACTGCTTCTATAGCTGTAGTCTTTTCAGAGGGGTGATGCCACATGCACATACTCACACATACGTGCAAGACCTAGAGATACATGCGTATAAACTTAAGCAACGCTTTCTAAAAATCTTGTTTTTTATTGCTTATCTTACAGATGGCTTGCCTTGCGAATCGCCTACTTATTCATATGCGCGACAATGCACTAACTTGGAATGCACCCGTGCACATGCGAGAAAACAAATGAACTATTCAAGTTGCAATGCAATCAATAAACTGCAAGCAACACTGAATCGACCGTCACAGTTGTCGTTTCGTTTGCGCACTTATCAACGCAACCTTTTTACATCCAACATTGGGGAATCTCTGAGGCCGTCCTCTTTCGACGGCTGGGTTAGGCAGAGTGACAAGCGTCAACCGACAAGTGCAGCTCACTCACTCACTCGCTCACTCACTCACTCCCTCCCTCCCTCCCTCCCTCCCTCCCTCCCTCACTCACTCACTCACTCACTCACTCACTCACTCACTCACCTCTCTGGACCCCAGCGCGTCTAGATCTCTGGACTTTCTGGTTACAGACCTCACACACACTGTTTGGGGTCTCTTGCCGGGATAATGCAGTTCCTTGCTGGTTTTGTGTGCTCACTTTCGCTCATGTGCATCCCATTTTGGACCGACGACCTTACGTTTATGGGAAGTCGCGGAGAACGTGCATTTTGGCACGAGTGTAAGTTGCAACGACCGTGCAGGGACAGTGAAGCGGGGTCCTTTTTTACGCATTTGTGTTTGCGCAAAGAAATTCTAGCAAAAAATGTTTGTGTGATTTTCTGACAAGGGTCAGCTTTTCATGCTGATGATTTGGTTGTAAAATTTGTGTTTGGATGAGTGGTTGTGATCCAAGGTGATTTATGTTGTTTGTAGGTTGTGTTTCCGGGCGTTGATGCAACATCAATGTCTTGATGCTATTTTGGTTTTGAAACCAACATTTGGAGAGGCAACTGACGTATGCAGGTTGATTCATTGCTCAAGGACATTCAGATCGCTTCCCAGATTGACGTGAAACAAAGGAGGTTTGGCTAGTTGTTTCTTGCATTCCATGATGGACATCACATTTCGGAGGTGGTCTTGCATTGGCTACAGGTCAGCATTTTTGCAAAAATCACACTTTTGGAACATCATGTCTCATGCGAACCCGTCCATGAACAAAGAATACAGCGTTCCGAGTATGTCGTGTGTTTTTCACACTTCAAACTTTAAACACACTGTGACTGTTCAATGCAGACATGTTGCATGTGGACTGGGTTGTCTTGTGAAGGGCGGCCGGTCTCATGTCGTCTGCCATCGAATTGCTTATCGCGGCACATACGGCTTTGTCTGCTGTCCCTTTGAGAACGCTCAGGGTGTCCTGTTTGTCTCCTCCTTCAGTGTTAGTTTCATTCATGGATGGACAATCTCTGATGTGGACCCCGAAGCCAGAGCCTATGCCGATGCCTGCGTGTGACCCTGGAGTAGACGACAGTGCAATGCTTGGAAAGGCAGGACGATGCAAATGGGAAGTGGAAAATGGTATGACAGAGCGCTACACAGAGCAACCATTGTGGCGTTTATTGAATTTCATGTCCAAAGAAATCTACTGTTTTATTTGGCAAGAAAGGTTTCCAATTGTTTGCGTTTGCTTTGAAGCATTGTCAACGTCCCCGCACGCAGGCCTTAAGATGGCTGAAAGCTGATTGCTTTGCTGAGTTTGCCGTGCATGAAGAGCTGGTAGCTGCCAATGCCTCCATGTTTGGTGCTCGAGGTGCTGATGAGGTTCTTGCATTCAAGAAGAGTTGGCTACGGATGGCGAAAAACTATGAGGTGGATGCGATTCTCGATGTTGACCTGAAAAACCGAGTGGTCGTCGCATCCTTTGACTGTCTCATCTCTGGTAAAGAGGGTCGGGGAACTGATGTCATGCAATTTGATGAGCAGATGAAAGTCTCTGGTGTTGCTGCCATTCGACATACTCAAGTCACGTCTTAGTAGCAACAGCATGACAAGACCACTGACCTTTGTAACGGCAAGTTCTTGCCAGAAGGCGTTTTCATCCGCAGAGCAACAGCAAAAGGAGCTGAAGGTTTGCTTGGCGTGTTTTGGACCTTGCTTAAGAGTCAAGACGTCAATGATCGAAATGTGGTGCAAGGATAGGCGGATAGACACTGTAACTTGTATATTGATGAATTCTGACTGTGAGAAGCGTAGAGTCAGGCAGTGGATGGAGGAGTTTTGATGTGGTCCTGAGACGGTCCTTAGGCTAACAGTTTGTTGTGGAAGGTCCCATGATTTCATTGCGATAACATCATGCTTTGATGGCAAAATAGGACCTTTATTAGCCAGGATTGCCCCCCGCACGCTGATATACGGAATGCACGCATTGTGACAGATATTTGTGTGGCCGCTATCAGTCAGCGAATGGATCAAAAGAGCACCAGGGCTATCATGGAGGTCGTTGAACCACCTTTATATAGCTTTAGCTCCAAGTCCGTGGGACTTGAGTGATCGTAGGCTGTGGAGACTGCTTGCATGGGAGCGGAGCCCAAGGAGGTGGCAGGCGCAATAGACCCGTTTAAGCAATGGCCGCGATCGAGAGCAGCAAAGAAGGGTGTGCCGTTGTGGGACGGCTACACAACCCTTCCAAGAATACGGCCAGCTAGATACTCACTGGGAGCAACCGGGCCGTACCACAAACCTTATCTTTGACCCAAGCTCTTGAATGAGCTCTCAAGGACAGCAAGGAGGCTCCTCCTGTCCAAACCACCGCATGACTATGACAAACATCCACAAGACATACAGAACGACAGTAACTGGAAGCCCCTGACCTGGAAACGATAGTTGTTTTCATTGATTTTTCTTTGTTGGTTTTTCTTGGTTTGCCTGTGTGTTTTCAGAGATATCACGCAGCATGATTGCATTAGAAGGGGGTGGGCGGCATGCGATGCACGTATTGTCACAAGTATCTGGCTGGCCGGTATCAGTCAGGATCAAAAGGGCGCCAGAACAACCACCTCTAGATTATATAGCTTTAGCTCCAAGTCCATCGGACTTGAGTGGTTGCAGGCTGCGCAGACCACCCTGTTGTATCATATCCATATGTTGGGCTAGGGGGAAATTGCGAGGTCCGAGGATGCGAAGGATGCCAAGTTTTGAAATTGTAGTGACTTTTGTATCTGGACTGGTTACAGGTCTTGCCAAGATCTTTGCGGGAAATGTTCCCTGCCTTATGCTGAGCCAACCTCTCCTTTGCAAGTAAAATAGGTTGGTTGAGGGCCAAGGGTATGTTGTGTTCTGGTGATCTGTGTTTTGAATGCTGTCGAACGGTGGCCGCCGCTGAACCGAGCTGGTTCAATTCTAGCCATTCTAGCTCCCCAAGTCCATTCTTAGACTCGCTAGATTCAAGTTTAGATGCCAAAGCAGGACATTTGTTTCAGTGCGTCATTTCCACTTAACCATTTGCAGGCCAATGAGGCCACTGCGTGACCAAACAGCTCTAGCAAAGTGCAAGAAGTGCGGTGCATTATTTTATGTCGCTTTTGACTGCCCAAGTAGTGACTGTACATGAATGGGCCGCCCAGATTGCGAAGGCGAGCGTTCAGGCAGGGATTTGGCAGGGCTTGGCTGAGTGTCAACAGCTTTGGAACTTGTCCGTCCTGTATGATGCTCCACTGCCCTTTTTGCCGACTTGAACTTTTTGTCCATGTCATTCGAGTTTGGAAGTTCACACACTGGCTTGACGCCCTCCTCCTGCATAGTGGCACAGTCTCCCTTTGCATATTCACACACACACACACACTTGTGTGCTTCAATCTGCTGCTGCTTGCCAACTGTTTCGGCATATGCCGAAGGTTTCTGAAATGCCTGGCCATTTGCGAAACGTGCATGCGAAAAGAACACACAACAATTCAATTTCACCCTGCCCCTTACGTTTCCTTATGTTGATGCATTCATTCCGTTTGATGCATGACAGTGTGGTGTTGCATGGTGCGGGGTACATCTCCCTGCCTGCATGTTGGAGGCTCATCAAGTGTTTCTTTCTGGCTTTATCGCCTTTGAAGGTGGTGTTGGATCCTGAGATTTCCAGAGGGTGGGACATTTGGACCTTTGCACGAGCAGATGTCCAGTTTCTAGATATACACCCAGAGAGAAAGTAGCAAGTAGTGGTGAGGGGGCAAGTAGCGGTGAGGGGGTTGGCAGTAAGCAACCGCAGCGACTTGACCAAAGAACTGGTAGCCAAAGGTTCAGCGTTCAGTCCGGTGTCGCAGCCTTGCGGGTGCCTCTCGACACCGGTGTCTTAGCAGCTGACTCCGGTGTCTTAAGTCGTAGCCTAAGCGGAAAAGTCCAGGTAGCCTCTTCTGAAGGCGATTGTAGTAAGGCATTTGGATGCGGCGTGCCCCGCAGAAGACGCGCAAGGTCAATCCATTCAGACGAAAAAAGAAACGATGTGCCAGACACCAACAAACATGAACATGTGTAGGAGGTGATTTCCAAGCCGCCATTTTGAAGTGTCACCAAGCTGATGGAAGGTGAGGCAGTCTATCACAGTCTATCAGAATGCCAGGAATTCGAGTGTGGGCATGAGGCTCTTTTGCAGAACAGGACAAGAGGATTCAAATCCAGCCCAGATCTGTGTGAGGAAGGAGCGAACCGGATGCAGAACAAGTAGATCTCTGAGAGCATAGTTGATTCCTAGGTGTTTGGGGGGTTGAGAGGCAGCTACTTGCCTGGTGCAAAGCAAGGTTGTGTTTCTAATTGCCTTTTGGCCTAAAGGAGCTGGTTTTACTTGATTTGGTTACTTTGGTTGTTTGCATCTACACGCTTCACGTGTTTCTGTTCAAGCTAACTTTTTGCCTTGTGGTTTGCCACAGAGCACTGTATGAGCACAGAGTGACCAAAGTGGGTGGGTGTTTGATTGCCATTTTTTGGTGATCTCTTCGTCTGCCTGAGGATCCTTTTGCTGATCATATTCTTGCTGCATTTGCGCAGGGAGTCGCTTGGTGAGGAGACGAAGGGCAGCGAAGGATAACTTTTTTGAATAGATCGCTTCACAAGGGACAGAGCCAAGTCGATTTGCTAATATACGCCAGAGCCAACTCTGTCCTTCTTGTCCTTCTTCTTTGGTTTTCTTTTTTCCCGGTGAGTCATGTCTAAATTCGTTTCGGGAACCGATGAACAGCTGAGAGAACCCAGGCCATCGAGCCTTGAAGAATGGCTGGAGATGGCCCGAGTGACCATGCAGGCGCCTGCTTTGAGCAATAAAACCTCCGTTTTGGACAGAGCTTAAGAGCTGAAGGTTCATCCCTCTTCTTGAGAATTTCCTTTTTTTGGCAGCAAGTTCTGGGGTTCGTTGGGTTCGTTTGGGGGTTCAGTTTTGTTTATTGCTTTTATTGTTCAGCTTTGTTTGTTTGGGGGACCCGCGGATGTGTGCTTAAACGCACCTCTCCCTGAGTGCCCAAAGGTCGAATTAACAGTTCAACGCATTTTCACCAACTCTCCCTGGTCTTTTGACCGCATCTCTGTGAAAATATGGTGCTAGCTGTCAACGCTTCTTGAAATTTCGGATTCAGGTGGTGTCAATGGCCTTGTTCATTCATCCAAGGGTCATGATGCCTAAGATAATCTGCGGCATTTTACATCAAGGCTGGAAATTCAACATGGGTGTTTTAAAAAATAGGCAGACTTCCCAGGCGTTCGGACCATCTGGAAGAAGGGAAATAGACCAGTCTGCCCAGCCAGGGCCAGGGGTCTCCCTATCGTGTTACCAACGCATGGAATCGCATGTCCAAATGGGTGCAGCTTACAGTTGGGTGCGGAACCGTGAACGTCCTGGTACCTTGTTTTATTTTTTTGCATTTTGTTTCGTACCTTTGCTTTTCCAACAGCTCTCAGCGATTTGTGTTCTATGATCCGCCTTGAGGGCCAATGAAGCTCCCTTTCATCTTCGCCGAATGGCAGGCGGAGCTGTTGCACGGAGTTTCCTGTGTGGCATGCCTATGCCTTCTGGCTGCCGCTTGCAGTGAGGCGACTGCGCTGCGTAGCGTCGGAGACAGTCTTGAACGTTTCATTGATCTGTCCCTTACTTTAGGGAAAGCCCCTCCACAACCAAGATTTCAGTCGTAAATGTCTTCATTTTGGGGTCCTCTATAGGGGTATTGTTTGAAGATATTGCAGCTCTCCATTTTGCCGCTTGCGTTCTGACTCAATTTAGAGCCTTTTGCGCGCATGCTCCCATGCAGAAAGCCTGCAACATGGAGGAGTTTGTGGCATGAGGAGATGCAAACACACATCAACCTTTTTTCCTGCTCCAATGTCAGCGCTAGACTTTAGACTTACATTTGCTTGTTTATCCTGTTATTTCCCATCACAGTCCCTATCTCCCTCTCTCTCTCTCTCAAGAAAGAGGGCAAAAAGGGGGTGAAGGAAAGAAGAAGTGAGCGTCGTTGTGCCGCTGCAATCGATTCCAATAATTCTCGAAAATGGGGGTGAGCCAGGGTGAGAGAGAGTCAGTTTCTTCCAAAAGAGAGAGACCTACCCTCTTTGTTTTCTCTATCTGTAGCTGATATTTCTCATACCCTGCCAATTGCTTGCTGATCACAAAGCAGTGCAAAGTGCCACTCAGCCTGTCTTTTTTTAACCCCGAGAAGAGGATCGCCTTTAGGCCTCCAAGGAAAATCACTGCATGCCTCCAAGTGTGCCCAAAGCTATTTCCTTGAGGGCTGACCCAAAACTATGGAACGCACAATGAATGAGACACGAGAAACTTCAAGCCGAACAAGCCCCCGTTCTTTTCCGACTTTTGATGGAAGGAATCTTGCTCAAGTGGTACGGAAGAATCCTTCACCAATAGTTATACAGCAACATCACAAAGCAGATGAATGGTGGTGCATGTTGGTGTCTTTTTGCAATCCTTTTGCGGTATATCATGGGGTCCATCCAAGAATTATCCCAGCAATAGACACCAAACAGTGTGTTTGACGTCTAGAGGCAGCAGAAAGTCTAGAGATCTATATAGACGCATTGGGGTCCAGAGAGGTGATGGTGGTGATGAAGGTGGAGATCGTGGTGGGGTGGTGGTGGTGGTGATGGTGATGGTGATAGTGATGGTGAAGATGGTGGTGATGATGGTGGTGGGTGGTGGTGGTGATTGGTGGTGATGGTGGTGGGTGGTGATGGTGGTGATGGTGGTGGATGGGGGTTCAAGCTGGGAAGGTCCACAAAGTACTGCGTTTGCCACGAAATCTGCACTGCACCTGTGCAATCTGTACTTCAAGCACCTGCCACAAAAGTTGCACTTCACGGTGCTCAAAGTCCCGCACCGGCCACGAAATCTGCACTTCAAGGTCCACGAACTATTGCACCTGCCACGAAATCTGCACTTCAAGGTCCACAAGGTAATGCACCTGCCACAAAAGTTGCTACCGCACTTGCCACGATGCCACGAAATGTCACGAAATCTGCTCTTCAAGGTCCACAAAGTACTGCACCTGCCACGAAATCTGCACTTCAAGGTCCACAAAGTACTGCGCCCGCCACAATTTCCGAAAACGAACCACATGTGCAAAAGTCACGATTCACCGCACCTGTCACAAAATCAGAGCACGTCGAAGATTACCACCATGTCCAAAGTGCTGCGCCTGCCACGAAATCTACACATCGAAGTAAAACCGCTCCGATCCCTTGTGCCTGTTGCAAGACCACCAAAGCACGAGGTTTCCCGTGCGCGTGCCACGAAAAGTGACCACCATGCCCGAAAATGCGCACGGCACCACAACGAGCGCAGTCTCGAAGAGCACCTGCGCCAGCCCAGCGCAGTCGAAATGCATTTCGAGGACTTCGAGAGGCGTGAATGTGCTGTAAATAGCAACGAGTTGGCCGGACGCCCTGATGCAACACCTCGACTCAACAGCGGCCCTTAACTCCTACCGTAAGAACCCCAAGTGTTACCGCACTGTTTGGGGAAAAAATGGTTACTAGACTTGACAGTCAGCACGTTTCCTCCATTTTCGCTTTCGGAAAATGCCTGAACTCGGCCAGTTGCTCCCGATCACCGGGCGGTTGGCTGTATGTGGCTTCTCCATACTCCTTGGGACCATGTGTTGGGAACTCAGTTCTGGTTTCCGCGCGCCTGTAGAAGTGGGCTGTGACCCTAGAAAGTTAAGCCTGGTACACAGACACTAGGTTTGTTTGGAGCACTTGCATAAGCACTCAAGAGGTTCTTTGTATGGCTTTCGTTTGGGTGTGAGTTTGAATGTAGCCATGTTTGAAAGGTGTGCCCCAAAAGAACAGGGTTTTCCAAAGTTGATCTGGAGATTGTCCTGGCGGAAATCTAGATCCATGTAGTAACTCACTCATGGCCCCTATGTTGCTCGTGGGGTAATGTGTGTGTGATTGAACATCATGCTGCTAGAGGGTTTCTTGGACTGGCGTTGAATTGGAAGACATGAAACAGGTATCATAGTGACATTTCACAAAATTGGCACTTGAAAGAAGTTCTTCATGCCCAGCAGTATGTGCCCCTGTACTGTGCCTTATGTGGGGAATGGCTTGGGTGAGTGATGGTCGCACGCTGCTGGCTGGGGTTCCAAGGAACCATCTCAAGAAGTTTACATCCTCAACAGTCAAGGGCTCTGATCATAATAAATTCTTCTCGGTGCCACTACCCACACCTCAAACCTTTTGGTGAAGCATGTTTTTTTACACCACGCCGTCCGGACGCCCAAAGCTTCTGCAGCTTCGTCGCAGGTTAGGCAGCAAAGCTTGATCAACAGAAGTTGGTATGATGAAGCCTTGTTACCAGTAGCGATGCCCGAGCTACTAATGGTTTCTTGTTACTAGTAGCGATGGCCTCCAACCTATTAGCTTCTTTGGAGCCTGAAGACAAGACTCTTGGACACTCATTGCTCTGAAATACAACCACGTCAGTGCACGCTGCGATCAATTACAACCCTAGCTCAGCGCCTCTGATCTCAGTCCTCTACGGGGCTGACGCATCCAGCGCATGTTGTTTGGCATAGAGATTGATTTCCTGAAAACTCAGGAGCCACATGAGTAGCAGACTGTTTAGGTGCACATTCTGTGTGTTAAAACTGAACTGGTTCCACATGCGGAACTCAGCAGGTGTCTAAAGAACGCCGTTGGAAAGACACGGCGAAACTCGTCATGGGCACGCGGGTTTCGCTCCAAGAGGTCTCACAGGACTGGTAGTCGACGGAAAGACGCGTGCACAAGAAATGGATTGGAGATGGTTCCATTGATTTGATGTACCAAGCCCAGTCTTCAAGCATTTTTCAGAATTGAAGAGATGATCCAATGGCTTCAGGAGTGCTCTATTTTCTGCCACGCTTCGCTTTTTGATCTATTTGACCAGTGATTCTACACAATAGTAAATATACAGCACAGACACACACACACACACACTCACTCACACACAAATAAGTAAACACAGGGTTTGTCACTGTCACAACTTGAAGGGTTCCCAGCAAACGCATGGGTAGGCTGGGCGAACAGACCTGCAAACCAGGTCGGGATGGGATTCCCTCCGTCTGTTTCCATCCGGAATCCAAGCACTCTTTGGCTTCGTTGATTCGCCCATTTTGGTCCTTGGGGCTGCGAGGACTGGGACTCCAGATTCATCAGGCTTCCGCTTCAAAATGTGTCGCGCGCTGCTTTTTTGGTGCTGGTCGCGCGCTGGTACCCATGCGACGCGACCATCCCACTCAAAAAGCCTGGCGTCACAAGTCTTTTGAATCATTTGGTCGGTGCTTCAAGTGACGACTCGCTTGACCAAGAGTTGGGGAGTAGTTTGCCTAGGTTGTCGAGAGGTTGCTTGAGTGTGGAGGTTCCATAAAGCCTGGGGCTCTACAAAGCAGCAATTGGTCCTATGCATAAGGAGTTCGTTCCGGGATACTCTTTGATCCTTGTGCGATTCATACCTTTACTGTTTTCTATCAAGAGAAAAGAGCCACTTTCTTGCCAGGCCACATGGGCTTAGCACCTTACAGAGTCTTGATTGCAGGGCGACTTCCCGCGAACCGCGAACCGCGCCGGATCGGTCGATGCACCCCACACGGTTCAGCATCTTTGGGCAATGGCCAGAGCAAAGATCCTAAGAAACCGAAGGACCTGCAGCAGCTGTCCAAGTCGTAGTCACTTTCATGTTCACTGAACGATGCAGAGCCAAAACCAGTTCTTGGGATCGCCCATCCGAGGCCGGCGATGGCCACTTGGAGGAGTGGGAATGAGTCGGCAAGCTGGTTGGGAAGACATCATGCAGTTCAGGTTAAAATCGGATCGATCATACCTATCCCCTTTCTTGAACCAATGCGGTACGTCCATCATCAAGACCTGAAGGATTTGCGTTGTCAAGCAGCTTTTGTGGGACTTAGTTGATTTCATAATTAGTGGTGGAAAAAGAACTGGCCATCAGTTGGAAATTCGAAAGAAACAACACACGCACTGGAGATTGGAGTATTTTTTTTGGAAGGTGAAGGTATGAGTGTGCATTCCAAAAACCTCCTGTGAAGTGGGCATTGAGGTGTTGGCATTGAGGTCTTGCCATAGATCGTCCACATGAGGTGACTCGATGCTAAGCGGCTAGGTGGAGTTATTGCCTGTCGCTTGCATGTGGTAGGCAGCCCCATTGCAAATGAGTGCAGAATCCAAGTCTGGCCCCTGCAGGCCAATTGTCGGTTCTTGTTGGCTCTGCTTAGCTCTTGTGGTGTACCTTTGGGTTTGCTGTGCTCCTTCTTTTGCTTTGTCCTCTTTCATTTGCATGCTTGTTTGGTCTTTCTTCAACCCTTGGCCACTTGGCCGCATGATGCAACATCGGCGGCCTTGCACAGCTTTCGTAGTCATAGTCCTCCAAAACTCCAAACGAAACAAAACGGGTCCACAGCTGAGGCCAGCCCACGCGAGGCTATCGAAGAGTTTCTCTGGGTTTCTGAGCTGCACCGCTTGGCGAGAGAGAAAAGTAGAAAGAGACAGCACAATGCAACATCGTAATGGCCTCCAACCTAGTGGCGATGGCCTCCAACCTAATAGCGATGGCCTCCAACTTAGTTGCAATGGCCTCCAACCTACTAGCGATGGCCTCCAACCTAATAGCGATGGCCTCCAACTTAGTTGCAATGGCCTCCAACCTACTAGCGATAGCCTCCAACCTAATAGCGATGGCCTCCAACTTAGTTGCGATGGCCTCCAACCAACTAGCGATGGCCTCCAACCTACTAGCGATGGCCTCCAACCTACTAGCGCCAGCCTCCAACCTACTAGCCCTGCCCTCCAACCTACTGGCGATGGCCTCCAACCTACTAGCAATGGCCTCCAAGCTACTAGTGCTGGCCTCCAACCTACTAGCGATGGCCTCCAACCTAGTAGCGCCGGCCTGCAACCTATATATAATAGCCATGACCTCCAACCTATACTGGCGATGGCCTCCAACCTATTAGCGCAGGCCTCCAACCTATTAGCGCTGGCCTCCAACCTACTAGCGATGGCCTCCAACTTACTTGTGATGGCCTCCTACCCAATAGGGATGGCCTCCAACCTACTAGTGATGAACTCTACTTTCCTCAACTTGTTTTACTGCACCTCCTTGGAGTGTGGGGGTTGTTCAACCGCCGTTTTCGCCAGGTTCCCACCGCTTTCACGGCGCAAAGTAGTGTGGCGTCGGTGAATCGCTCTGCCGCCCGCGGTCGCCTGGACAATTAAGGCAGTGTGGGAGGATCTTGGATCGGTAGACCCTCAAAGATCTCCATTTATTCAGATCTTTGAGGTTGGGTCTTGAAACGATCAGAAAGGCCCTAGGACTGATTGAAGAAGAGAGCAATTTGTTGAGTGCGATTGGATTAGTCGTTTGCTGCAACCGAAAAGACGACGCACACACACACACACACATTGGCTCGGTCCTATGCGTTGCTTCGAACGCAACGACCCCAACGACGGGCTTGCGTCACGGTTGGTGAGTGAAGTGCCCCAGGTCTGGAGGCGATCCAGCACGCAAAGGAGGTCATTCCTGGCCAACGGAAAGAGTTGAACGAAGTGATGAATGCCAGGCCCTTCGGTAGTGACGGTCGCGACGGTCTGGAGCCCAAGAGTTGTTGGATCCGCAAGTGGAAGTCAGCCTGATGTTGGATCGAACGAACACATTTACCCCTTTAACCATCAAAAATGGAGGGGTACCTCCAGAAGTGTAACTTTCTTACCTTTTTTATTCAACTCTTTTACCTTTAGGAGAGGCGGACACTTCGCTGGTTTTGGGCAGCGAAGAGAAATGGCCGAACTGGCCGAAATGGCCAGGCAAACGAGGAACCGGCTGCTGGCAAAACACGCGAACGATGTGTGAACAAGAGCTGATTTTTGACTACACAGAACAAGTGACGTGGGCGATGTCATATGGTGTAGATTGCAAAAGAATCCTGGTTCTCTGAGTTAATGAGATCAGAGGCCCACTATTCGCCAGGATGGCCGAGCTGGCACCCCTGTGCTCCAAATACATGCGCCTTGGAGACGGTTGTTATTGCTGTTGGGACAAGACGTTGTTTTTGATGCACTTCCGAGGGGTTTCCCGTGCACTCCCGTTTCCACGTGGCGGCGGCCGCTTTCCGTGGCGCGTCAAGTGGTCGCAACGGTTGTATTTCCATGATAAGTCCAAGCCCCTTTGTTTAAACAGTGTACCCTAGGACGCTACTAGGGGCTCCTGGCATCGCTACTAGGAGCAAAAAGCCATGGCAATCACTGTCGGCAACAATAAGGTGGGTGCTTGAAGCACCCCAAACCACTATTTGCCAGTTTGGAAGCTGCGGAATCTTTCAGAACCCAGAGAAAAGTGGGTGCGGGTTACAACTACTCCTCCATGGAGGAAGGACTTTCACGTCTACGTGTTCTTTTTCTTAGGATTCCCGCCGCAGTCACCGACGTGTTAAATGCTGACGGTTGATCAATCAACCCCCCCTAGGATCCTGGCCCTACTTGGATCTTCTATATAACATTTTCAGTCCACGAAGCGGGGGAAGACTCGGGGAAGACTGTTGCTTCAATCTAGATAGACGGTTGCTGCATGAGCTTTTCGCCGAGTTAGGTCGTCCAACATCTCCGCAGACACCGCCGAAACCGCCTTCTTTTTTCCACCACGAAGTCGACATCAGAATGGGGATGGGTCAAAACCTGGAGCTCCAAACCCTGGTAAGTTGACCTGGCTGGTAGGTCCAACATGGTTCAACCAAGGCTTTTTCTGGTGTCTTGACCCATCAGACGTTCCTCGCGAGGTTCAGACGTGCCGAGCTGCAGGGCTTGAGCGCCGCGCAGTGCTTGGCCGCACAGGGCCGCTTGAACGCGGAGCAGCTGATGCTCGGTCGTGATCAAAGCGGACAGTTGGGCCATGTATCAGGGAGATAATCTTGTGTTTTGGATGTGCTGATTTACCAGAACGCTCATGTTTTGTGATGTAAAGACTGGATGAGCTGTGTTGTGAACAAAACGCCGAAATTAGACTACATTAAGATTGTACGTATTGTTTCTCTTGGCTAATGCCCCTGAAGTTCTGACCAGCGTTATGGATTTGATGTTGATTCTGGTCGTTATACTATTTGTCTTCTTCGGGCTTTGCTTGACTTATTTTTCAGCGAAACAATCTGCGGAGTGAGTACGTACTTGGCCCGGCAGAAGATGTGGATCAGGTAGTGGAGACGATCAGTTTTTCCTTCGTCGTCGATCGCAGTCCGAGCAAGTCTTGGCCTATCAATTCAAGTTACATAAACGAAAAAGCCATGGCCTCCAACCTACTAGGGATGGCCTCCAGCCTAGTAGCGATGGCCTCCAGGAACACCAAGAACATGGAAGCTGCACCGCTACGACGGCGACCGGGTCGAATTCTTTCGTTTATTTCGATGAGAGACTTTGTGGCGTATGGAAGAACCTCACCCAGGACTGACGATGGGGGCCCTCCTGGATGTGTGGATCTACGTCAGACTAAAAGTCAAGGTGTGGCTGGCCGGCGTGGCGCGCGTTTCCGACACTGTCACCTCAATTCTGTGGAAACGCGTTTGTTGGATTTGCCCTCACCCAGCCCCACCTGGACTCACTCAACCAACCTTTGTTGTTGTTCTCTTGACACGATTGCGACATGGGTGCGACACCTCGAGATCAGGCATAAAAATGCGATGTTTTGTTGGAATCTCAGAACAACGAAGCTCAGGCACTTTCCATTACTCTCCCATCTTCAGTGCCCAACCGCTCCAACTGCTCCAGCCGCCCAACGGAACCCGTTCGCAGGTGACCCGCGCCTGCCGGGCAAGACCTGTACCTGGGGCTACGGTGCACCAGACTGCACTGGGTGCAGAGGGTCAATTCATACATGGTTGTACTTGTAGCAATCCCCTTTCACGCCACTTTCTTGAATCTTTGTTCTGTGTTCCTCTTCGACAACTTGGGTCAGAGTGTTGAAGGGCTAGCGTAAAGTTTTTGCAAGCACAGGGAGTTTAAAGACAAGGAGGCAGCGGGACACTGCTGTTTAGCAAGAAACACATGCCACCACCACTTTCTTGCTTCAACGCTATCAGCAGTGGCTTTTTTCACAGCACACGTGGAGCTTCAGGTAGTGAAACTGAATGTAACCACTTGTGACCTTCTCCATCCACTTCTCTCCTTTGCGTGAGACATGATTCGACTGAACCAGCTGACCGGGATGATGTGCTTCCTCCCGCATCCTCCCGCCTCCCAAGGCAAGCATAAGTTGAAGTGCTCGGCTAGGCTCGTGAGTTTTCTTTGCCAGCATACTTCTGTGATGCACAGACTCAAAGAAGCATCGACTCCGAAAGCTCAAAGGAAGAATCTCGAGCTCGCTCTCGGACTCACCATCAGGTGGTCGGTTCAGATGTGCTCGCGCGGTTCCATTCCGATTGGTTCGACCTCGACATCTGACCCGTGGACCCCTCGGCCGGCACCATGTGGCAGTCTGAGCCGCGATCGCCGCTCTTCCGTCAGGTTGGACTACTTGCGCGATCGCGAGGCGGTGCCGGGATCAGATCCAGATGGAGAAGCTTTGTCCATGGACGACTGGGTTCCGCAGCTGAATGCATCGAGGAGTGCTCAGTACTTCAATATATTCCATGTCTTCTTTGTTTGTTTGCCATTTAAATCACCAGGGTGCTTCGGCACCACTTGGTCAACACACATTGAATCAACAGCCATTCGTTTCTGTTTCTTACATTCTGAATTCTCCAAATGTGAATCACCCCCGAGCATGGTTCTTGGGGTGAGGTGGATTGTAAGGGCTTGGGCAGATGGGCTCATGACATTTGAACATTTCAGGGATTCATTCATCCGACACCATGGAGACCCGGACATGTTGGACAGGTTGGACAGGTCGTCGCGAGCGAAAAGCAACTTTCTCCATTTTTTGCAGTCTCTTTGCTAGGATACTTCTCCAAGTGAGCCGTGGTGTCGAAGACCCAAGAAACTGGGGTGACATGTGGAGGGGACCCTCTCTTCAACAGACGTTGACCTTCAAAAAATAGACTTGGGATGCTGGGGGCACGGGCTGAACCACTGAAGCGAGGTTTACCAGCAAGAATCCCATGGCCCTCGAGGTTCGACGCTGGTGCCATCCCAAGTTCAGTGTCCCTGCCAGAGCCTTAAACGCTGATCTGGCAGCCGGGCAGCACGTGAGCAACGAGGAGGCCGGGTGCCGTGCAACGGCCTGATGACCAATTTGAAAGGAAGTCAATCCGGAAAGCCTCAGGTCCAAGTCCAATCCACTAGGCATCCGTGAAGCGAAACACCAAAAGCAACGACCCCAGCCCCCTGGGGATCCCTTGGGGGGATCCTTTAGGGGGATCCTGGGATTGCCCTCAAGTTCGTTCACCACGAGTTCCACACTGAATGACGCCGAACGACTTCGTGAGTTGGAGGCTGAGTTGGAGGCCGAAGCTCTGAAACCGGCGGGGGACAATCCAGACAAGGCGCACGGGAGATTGAGGGAATTCAACTGGGTGACCGACCTCTTTCTGCTGTCCAAGCCGAAGCTGTTTCCCTGTGGCCATCTTTCATGACGCTTGCAGTGAATCTTTGGAGGTCACAGGGCTTCAGCGGGTTGGGCAGGTGGGGCAGTTTTGACTCGGCCTGGACTCCGTCCACTTCCTCACCCTGTCGGCGTGGTCATCGAACCGTCGAACCGTCGAACCCGTCTTCTTTGGGGCTCCACATGGAGTAGGCTGTCTCCAAGTCGGATAGGTTCATGGTCGTGTGGGATGAGCCAGCCTGTACTCCCAGGACCAGTCCGAAAGCTTTGTAGCTCGTTTTCGAGTCACTAGTCATTCTAGTCTCCAGTCGTCCAAGGCACTGCTTTTCGTTGAACACATGCTGATACCTCCAGAGAGAGAGGATGGCTTTGTGTGGTTGGGCGCTTCCAGGCTGCTGAGCTCGCAGTGGAGAAGTGACGCTTTCAGACCGGTGGAGAAGACCAGCGTGGGGTGAGCACGTGAAGAAACACCTATTGAGCCTTTTGAGTCGGCAAATCCGTGAAAGGAAGCATCCAGGCTGGACCAGGCTGGGGCCACCGACCTTCGGTGGTTCATTTCCGCCGAAGGTCGAGCCGTCCGTCATTTGGAGACAGGATATGTTGACCCGTTCAGGATACACCTTGACACACCTCAGTTGTCATTTCTCTTGCAAAAGAGAAGAGCTTCCATGCTTCATGCCCTCAGATTCCACGGTTGGGTTGACCGACACCCCCGCTGTCTTTTGCCAGAGTTTGGATAAGGAGATGCCATTTGGTGAACAGGAAACCAGACGTGTAATAACTTCGTAAAAGGAGTATCTTGACTGCATCCGTTGAAGACAGTTTATACTTCTGGGCAACAGTGGTTGGCCTCATCCGGATCGCTCAAAGCAACAAGAGCGTTTGCAACCTTTTGACACCTATCTCCAGAAGTCAGGAAGCTTGCCCAGAGGCTGCCGGAGGCCCTTGGTATCACATAGATTGCACCTTCAAAGCAAAGGTGGCGCAAAAAAGAGACGGCATGCTTCTTGACGGGTGGCCCTTGGAATCCCACGAAACCACCACACTGGGAGAGTCGCCTCGTGCTATGTGTTTCTCTCTACTTCTTTTTGGACAACCTCTCAAAGCTGTGCGGTTTGCTTCAATGATTTCCTGACAAAATCTTGTAGTCTTAGCAACTTGCATGACGCCCTCCGTGGTCAGACAGCTCAGTCCGAGGCTGGTGCTCCCTGGTGAAGACGGCGGAGCTCCGGGGCTTAGAGCTGGTGCGACGGGACGGACGCCATCCGCTCGGGAAGATGGTGGAGACCAGGCTTCACTACTAGTAATAGGCACCTTGCTACGTTCGTAGCTTCTTGCTACTAATTCATAGTAAAGCTCTATTTGGGTGAAGACAAAGAGTAGGATGAGCTCGTGGGATTTTCTATTGGTGAAGTTCTGTCTTCTTCTCGAGGCCTTGAAGAGCATCACCTATTCCTATTCAGTCTGTGCCCTTGGAAGTATTGGCGTTTTTCAAAGGACTTGAGTGGGAGAATCTGGTCCGGTGGGCCCGCCACTGCGCAGGTGCCCGCTAGAGTCTTTTGGCCTGCGGTCTTCTGCAAGGTGAGAGAAGGGGGGTCTCAGAGGGCTGGGTGGTGCGGACCGCTATCTGCGTGCACCATCACTTCAAGACCCCCTTCTACAGATTTCTACAGTAACTGGTCCAATCACCTCAATCCACAGCCCTTTCAGGGTGTGTCTCAAGCATCTCACAGCCAATGTGTTGGAGATGTAGTGCTCCTCTCCACGGCCCAGTCTGGGCTCAAGCCCATGTGGACGAGACAGACTGTGGATATTGCCGCTCCTGGAGCTTACTGCTGACGGCAGACATGCATAGAAACCTGACAATTGGTCGAACTGCTGCTGGTTTACCCATGTTTTCTTTTGCAGTCGGTGACTCATGCCACGTGCTTCCCGCTCGTGCGATGTGCGTCCTTCGGTGGTGACATCTGGTGGTCCTCCTCGGATGGCTAGCCGACGCGGACCGTGTTGAGCGCTCAAGCGTTTCAACGAGAGCAAAACCAAGCGTGAACGGTGGTTTCGTCCGTTTTCGACGACTTCGTCTGACTCTGCACTTTAGGCCAAGCGGAAAGATGCTGGATTACTGTTTGGCAGCGAGCGGTGGAACTGTGAGAGGCGTCGTCGGAAGGGTTGTGAAGTATGGCATTTGTATCCTGCTTGGTCTCAATTGGAAGATTGGCAGACTCCAAAAGTGCTTTTGTTTCTTGTGGGGATGGCTTGGAGCTTTTCGTTCTGCACTAGCTCTGGTTTTTCTGGCATTCCTCATTCTGAGCATCAATACTGCCCTAGACCATGTGCTACTGGAACCACTTTGGCAAGGTTTCATCTAGGGACAGCAACGAGCTAGGACCATTGGCACTTGCTGCATAAGGAACCACATTGAGCATGGACGGCCATTTTCTGGGTGAGCATCCTTGTGCAGAATTATTCGTGTCATCTTCAGGTGTTCACTTGGTGTCCTTGTCTGAATCATCCCAAATTTGATGCACAACTTTCAGGTGTCCCAAATTGCGGAAGACATGGATTAAAACCAGATCCGATTTGTGTTTGGATCCATAACCCAGTGGATCCAGTTACCACCATAGTAGGTAACCAGTCGGTAGCTCTCGGAATCCATGTTCCCTTTGGTTCCTCATCTAGTCAATGGCAACTGGATCCTTTTGGGGAAGAGACTGGTCAGGCCTTTTTCTGAAAGTCTCCTGGGCGTGGCTGGCAGCTGGCTTTGGGTGTGGATCCTTGGTTTGTAGCTCTTCGAGCCAGGAAGATTGGAAGATCTGGATTTATGTTAAGTTCACATTTGTTGACCTGAAATCCATCAACTTGGGCCGTGACAACACAAGCCATCTTGGTGAGGCTCCTGACCTATATTTGGTCAACAGAGTGGCTTTTAAAGGGATTGAAGAACTTTTGTGTCCTCTTCCAAGCAGACAAAATAGATTGACCAACATTCGGGGTTGCCTGGACTTCCACTCCATCAGCGGGTTCGCCGGACTTCTGATCCCAGGTCCCGGCTGGACTGATCCCACCCTTTTGCCGTGCGCTCTGTCAACCCTGGGCCCGGGCCGCCGGGAATTTGGGCGGGCACCGACGGTTTTGGTGGGATTTCTTGTTTGCATCAGAGCAGCCGCGCCATGGTGAGCTAGAGGGTTTTGTATGACCTTTTAACGTTAAACTGAACTTGAAGATCGGCATACTGCAAGATCTGAATCACGATGACTGGATGGTGTGGATGGTAAGTATGCGGGATACCCATATCCAGTCAGTCAGCGGGACCAGGGCCACTTCACAAGGAAGCCAACAATATGCATGATGTGGAGATGACACAGTCACATTCCCGGAGGTTTGCGCGATCGTGCAGTCGGACCAGTCGACGATCCTCTGAGCACTCTGATGAAGAATCTTGGGCAACTGGACCCTTTGGGTTGGGTTTAACTGGCCTTGCAGACTAAAAGGCAAGAAATGCGCAGAGCACGATGTCGCTTCGCTTCCATTGTCCTTCCGCAGCTGTAGAAATAGGCTTCAAAGGCACATGGGCCAGCACCAGGTGTGCAAGAGGGGGCTCTATCTAGGAAGCTCCGAGCAAGAAGGTGCAGACTGTAGATCACTGAGCCGGGAACCCCATCGGTTGCGAGTCCATAGATTTCTAGCCATCCAGATGTAGAGTTAGCCTTCTTTGAGGGCTAGAGAACCTACAATTTCCATAGCAGAACAAGAGTACATTGTGACATTGGATACATCTGCTAAAGAGCCAACCATCAATTGGTCATCCATGCATCTAGAATCTAGACATTTTGCTTCATGGTGCCCATTATCTCAAAAGAGGGTGGCTATACCCTCTACTAGACTTTTGCCGCTTGGAGATTTAGCCATGGGCCCGTCACTAGGAGAGTTTGCTTGTCATGGCGCTGCGAGGCCGTTGGGTGCTCGGGTCACGCCGCAAGCTTCGCGTAGCTTAAGGAGAAGCAGCCCAGTGTGGCAGAAAACACCTCGTAGACTTTCCTCCAGAGAAGACTCAAGAAGCCGAACCGCATGGCCGGTCTTTGGTGTGGCAGAACGAGGTGTGTCTTGGGATGTTGGCTGGAGAGAGTCATTCGATACTTGCCTCCTTTGATCCATCGAATTCGATCGGCGTGGCTGCAACCATCATGGACCATGTCTGATTCGGCTGTCGGTTTCGACTGTAACCATCAGTCGTTGGAAGCGTGTTCGAGCGTCTTTCGGGCCAAGCAGCTCTTTCTAGTATTTTCTAGTAGCTACTTGCTCCTAGTAGTACGGCCAGGAGCCCCGAACGTAGCGTCCTTCCTCCTAGATGCCAGGAGCTCCGTTCGTAGCTTCTTGTTAACCAGCCCGATCCAGCGCGAAGCCCGAAGAACCAACTCCGGACGCTCGGTTTGTGCGCAGATTGCACGCCTTCCGTGCTCCGGTCTCTTCACTGGGCATTAAGTGCCAGCGAGGCAAGTGTGGGCAAGTGGATGGAAGTGGGAAGTGCATGGTCCATGGGTCACGTGTTTGGGTGAGTCGATTCGCCAGTCATCGTTGTTTCGTCCAGAGTTAAGGGTGGATCAAGTCGATTCGCCAACGAAGTTAGTGTTCTAAGTGGATTTGCTTGTTGCTGGAAATCTCACGAACTGCGGCGTCTCACCTCGCAGGATGGCAAACGGCAGAGTCTCCTCCGGCCCCTCGTGCATGAGGAGTTCGGCCAGTGCACTCTCCTGACACTGCTCGGAGACCCCAGGGAAGATGGAGGAAAACCGGGGAAAATGGGTGACAGGCCAATTGGACATATGGGGTCTAGAAGTCACACAATGAGGCCTCGTACAGTCAGGTCTTGAGGAGTTCGGATGAAACGGGTCTCGTTGGTCGCCTGTGCTTCAACCGGCTTTTGGCCGCTGGTGGCCGACATGAGGCCCAAATCCGAAGGCCCCGAGGCGCCAACCGGGGGACGACGCAGCGAGCGGGATCGGTGGAACGACCGATCGCTGGGACCGAAGACTTCGGCTGTCTTCAGCACTGCGCAGTGCGGTGAAGACAGAAAGCTTTCCGAAGACGTTAGGGATTCTGTCAACGTTCCCCATGCGGTCCGCTGTCGGTGTTTGAGAGACCTTGACCGGACCGTTTTCCCTCGCATCGACCGAGAGTCTTCTCCGACTGTAGGAGACCACGACCGGAAGGACTAAGCCGCAGAGTCTCAGCTGCAAACATCGGGTCCACAGACGTCTCAACGGTCGGCGATGACGTAAGCGAGTCGTGATCTCAATGGACAGGTGGATCGAGTCAAAGATAGATCTCCATGTCGAGAGACATGGATCCAGAAGTTGTTTTGGACCGTGAGACCTTGGACTGTGATCAGGCCCAAAAAGGCTCGCATCCAAAAGAGCCAGGCGTTGGGGGAGCTAGCCTTGGTGTTTTTTGCTCGCTGATTGGGGTTGGAAGAGGGTTTGAATCTGCAGAGGCTATGGAGGCATTTGGTAACTGATTGTAGTCCATTCTGACAATACTTGCAGTTGAAACCCGAAGAGTTGTCCCAGAGCTGTTCTGAAACCCAAAACCTTCAATGACTTTTTGATCAGGACTCATCAAAGACGCCCAAGCCGTTCGAAGATGGGATAACCCTGACAAGGATGTGAAGCCAAAAAGGTCCAAAGAGTACTGAGTACTCCTCCAGCAGCTCGAATACGGCATATGGATGAAAAGGACATGTCGACTGCCATATTCGATGAGGGCAATGATGGAGAACTGCTGCCCTCCCCATTTCTTGCTGCATCCAGTGTCTCACTCTCTGGCTTGCACCGACTGCAGATACGGCTTCAGAGTGCCAAGGGCCTGCAAAGCCCCTTGCACTGGATCTGTGCACACGACGTGTTGGAGACGGGTACTGGAGAATGCTTGGGAGGCGGAGACGGGTGGGCTAAGTCCTCATGCAGACACTCATGTCAGAATCTCCAAGCAACCCAGATAACCCACGCTGAAAGACTCTTTTCAACTCTCCGCCCTAACGATTTTTGAAGACTTTGGAACCTTCCCAGCGGAGCTCCAAGTGAGTTCAGCCTCTAAAAAGTCCGTGCACGGCACAAGCCTCACCAGTTGATACCATCGTGCTATCATCCAAGGAAGATACTCTGTGAAGGACTGTGAAGCATCTCCCTCAGGGTGGAGTAGCTCAGGTGGAGCGGCAAGTTTTTCAGGCAGATTTCATGCCCAGTCCGTGTCCCGCCCGAGCAGGGTGGCCATCCCGATGCAATGGGGAACGCACCACCCGCAGCGCCGGTCTGGCGCGCAGCCTGGCCCGGCAGTGGCCCGAAGCGCTCCTGCTGCGTGATACCCAAGGTGAGGAGGTCGGAGAGTGGAGGAAATCACCGGCCTTGCCTGGCCTTGCCCGGATCGAGGCTCCAAAAACCCTTCCCTCCGCTTTTGGAGTCTTGTTTAATGAAACACCTCACAAAGTCAAGAAGAAAGAAGAGAACATCGGATCTTTTTGTCACTTCCCCACCCAAGCGAGCCCCGGTGGCCAAGCAAGGGCCGAAGCCGACTTCATCCTGATCATGGGTCCTTTACGACCAAAAACCGCACCAAAACGAAGGTCTCCGGTTCTGATCAGCAGTTCGTGTCATCATTCTGCAGGTATCTTCATTCTGCCATTTCCTCATCCAGCGATTGTCCGATGATTTCCTGCCATCGAACCTTTGGAGACGTCGCCTACTTTGCAGTGGATGATCGGAAAAGGGGACTCCCCCTTCCTTGCCCTAAACGCAAGGCAAACGCAATGCGTTCAGTCGAGACATCCTGGCATAGTTCAGGTAGCCGGTTCCGGGACCTCCAAAAGGGGCTTTTCGAGGCTCCGGTGGAGAATACGGTTCTCGCTTTGAACACCGGGGAGGCCTGTGGCCTTTGAGCTACTTTGAGACCCACTTCTGTGAAGATTGTTTGCCACACAGCCCACAGAGAGAGCTCCTGGGCGTGGGCGCGGAGGGAGGATGTGTCGAACAAATTTCTGGGGCGACAGGCCTTCTTTGAGGAACTGTGAGCGAGTCTGAGGTCTGTGGTTTTGATCAAGCTTGCCCACAGTAAGCGGATCGCGGGACCTAGGTTTGACCACTCAACATTTGATAGCATGGAATCATGGAATCTGAAATATGTCGGTCTACTTATATACCATGCTGGGTCCCGGGTCTCTGTTTCTGGGCCTTTGAGGATTCTCCCAGAGCAGCATCCACATTCTGCTACCACTTCACTTCTCGGTTTTTCCCTTTGGAGACACTCAAACGTGGTGTGGAAGGTGGTCTCCACTTCTTCTGGGCGGGTCCGATGTCCTTGTGAGACATCAGTTCTTCCGGAGCGAGGCTCCTGGTCAGTTTGTTGCAGAGCTTGCGTGCCTGGGCGGCGCAAGACCCTGAAGCTTTGCTGGTGGCCTTGGATCCGCAGGCGCTGTGGGTGCTTTCCGGTGGGGCCGTGGTAGGTGGAGGGAAGACGACGGCATCCCATGGCGGGTGGTGTTTGGAACAGCCAATGGCTTTCTTCGGGTCCTTCAAGTTGGCGATGAATTGGAAGAGTTGGTGAAACAAGAAACACGTTGGTTTAAGGACCGAGAACACTTGGTTTGAAACCCACGAAACAGACGAAACAGACGAAACAGGGCCGAATGAAATCGATCGTGAGTGGCCACTTAGGCTCCATCAACAAACCTTTTCATTCTCTTCTCTCGGATACTTAGTCATCCCAGTCATCCCCTCCTTACACCCAAGGACCTATATACTGTATTTGCATAAGTCAGGAGTGAACCATCGTCAAATGGCTCAAACCATCGATCCGGAAGTCAATTCTAACCCCTACTGGACACAAAAGCGAACCACGCCTGTTTGATGTTGGTGTATTTGGTATACTGTATTATAGCCAAACCTGGAAACTGCTGAGGTGCAAGCCCAAATGGATAGACCCTGTTGTATCAGCTTCGGAGCCCGAACACCGCTCTGCCCTGAGCTCTGAGCTGGTGCATCGCACGAACCGGAGGCTCTGCGCAGCCTTGCCTCGGCGCTGACCAGGCTGGACTCGCCATGCATGGTGTATGTCCGGTGTACCATTTGCTGTCTGCGTTCATGAACGCCAAAGCCAATGCAGGTCAGGTCAGATTCTGTGGCCGCTAGATGGGTCGGAAAGCACCAACTCCCAGAAGATCTTTGCCACATCTCTTTGGGTTTCATGTCACTGATTCTGCTCTTCCCAGTACCGTCCCCGGCGAGTTCGACGCTCAGGGTCGAGGCTGAAGCCGAGGCATCGGGCGAGAGGGCAGCGTCTCAGGCGTGGACGAGGGAAGACAAAAGGAAGGGCGGTCTTGTTCTGAAAAAGGAACAAGGGTGGAACAAGGACGCTACTAGGGGCTCCTGGCCATACTACTAGGAGCAAGGACGCTGCGTTCGGGGCTCCTGGCATCGCTACTAGGAGCAAGAAGCTGCTAGGAACAAGGGAATATGGTAGAATTTCTTAGTGGCCAGATTTGGCCAGGGTGTTGGTCAGGGAGTCTGAGAATTTGCAGAAGCAGGGGAAGGCTCTGCGCACCTTGCACCTGTAGCTTGCATGATCAATTTATTTGCAAGCTTCCTTTTAGCACTGCGGGCTGAAGATTCTACGTCTTTTTATTAAAATATGTCTCAATTTGCAAGTTTACTTGATCTGATTTTTATCGAGGATATGTATACTACAGTAGATCTAGATTCTCCGATTTGTTGATTTCAGTCTATACCAATTTGCTCTTATTTTGTATTTTTGGCATATCTAGTCTGCGCCCGAAGGGATGATACCCAAACAGAAAACTGTTTCTAGTGGGTTCAGACAGGTACAAACAATATTCTATCTCTAGATTTCATGTGTAAAGACTTGTTGGTACACAAACCGACAGGTAGAATGCACATGATATGATATTTGTTATTTTATCCACCGGACAGTTTGTTTTTGAATATTCAATCTATTGGTCGAAATCATTGCTGGGGGACCTCCCTATCTGAACAGGTCACCTCACTACTCGCGTTCATTGAACAATGTCAACCAAGCCTAAGCCACTGTCAAATAGTTTCGGCTCCCTTTTTGGAGTTCATGATTGTGAAGGGAAAAAAGGACCCTGCAAGGATTTTTCATACCACCCATGGCGGTAGAAGCAATCCTTAGTGGGTGATTGCTTCATGAACGAGGGCGGGCGTTCGCTCACGGACGATCCGGGCCTCGGCGATGCGAGGCTTGGCGTTCTCTTTGGGAGCTCACGGGTGAGGCAGCGCATCGAGGCCGTCGTTGTGCGGCACTGGAAGCCACTGAGCTCCGTCAAGACGCGGAGCTCTGGCGCCAGCGGGGCGAGGTGGGCGCCCAGCGGGATCAGCGGCGGATCAGCGTCGTTTGGCTCAGCGGAAGTGGTTTGATCATGTTTGATCCAGAGCGCTGATGTCGTGGCACGGTACGTTACGGATCGTGATGCAAGCTGGACACCTCCGACTTCAGAGGTACCCTCGGCACTTCGCACATTGTCCTAAGATTCCTTTTTTTGCGGAAAAAACCTTTGTGCGAACTTATCATTTGCTGCTGCTGCTGCTGCTGCTGCTGCTGCTGTCGGCCTCTAGGACTCCAACATCAAAATGTCTAGATGCCGGAGCGCGCTGCAATCGCACAGCTACTAGGGGCTCCTGGCATCCTAGTACTACTAGGTTGGTTGAAAGTTGCAAGTGCAGTTCCGCTTGCAAGGCACCAGAGTCTTCATCGTAAGGAAAGCGTGTGCTGTGTGACAATTGTGTTCTAGTCATTGAACACCCTACATGACAAAGATGGGCTGGATCTTTTTGCCAGCACAAGGTTGTTTTGTACAACTGGGTTATCAAGACGAACATTTTGCTGTGGGCTCTGAGACTGCGATCATGTCTGCTGAAGATACCATGTCAATATAACTGTAGAAGTGTTGAGGTCAGATTGGTGGAGTTCCATTCATGTCGATGTCCGAGCTTTAGTTTGATCCGGTCCCAGTGGAGGATGGACTCCCCCTGCCTTCGCCAGTTCAGGATGGACTCCAACTAGCACCTTGGGATGTTGGACCCTGCATCGTTTTTCCCGTGCAAAACCACCCGACCTGACTGAGCCTCAGTTCGTCCACCCTCGTCGCTGCGCAGGAGGCGCGTCTCCGCCTGGACGCGCTCCGCCGCCTCCATGGCGAGCCGTGTCGCACCGGCGCGCGGGCGGGGCCGGGCGCGAGGGCCGTGCCCTGGGCAGAGCGGCGGGTGGCCTATGAGGACTGTGGTCAGTGTGGGACTGTCATTGTGTGGCTGGATTGTGGACATTGCGGCACACTTGTTAAGGGTTTGATAGGGTTTGTAAAGTTGGTGTGCTGCCTTCGCATCCATGCTTGGGGAGACCCCGTTCTGCATCCCTTGACATGTGTTTCAATGTTCCTCCTCGGTGCTGCGCCATTGGCTTTGCATCTGGAGTCTGGAGAAACTCAAAACAACGCTGGGTAGCAAAATGAGGCCATGTTCTTCCTTTTCTTTTTTGATTTTGGAATACCAGCTATCACATGCAGACCGACTCGTGACGTCCACGCAGACCGACTTTCTTTTTCGGAGCACAGGAGCGTTTGGCCGAACTCCACGCGGAATTGGGCCGGCTGCCGGATGGCCGGGTGGTTGCTGAAACGGCGCGCCCAAGTGTAGCGGTGGTCGCGAGTCCTGTGACTTGTACGAAGAGGGTGGAGCCTTTGGAAGCGGATTGTTGAGTGTTCCATGATATTTTAGAGGACAAACAACAACATTTTCGCTACTAGGAACAAGAAGCTACTAGGGGCTTCTGGCATCGCTACTAGGAGCAAGGATGCTACTAGGGGCTCCTAGCCTTACTACTAGGAGCGATCCGACGCTACTAGGAACGTACTTTTCCTGTTGCAGTTCTGTTGTGTTGAGAGTTGAGCCGGATGTCGGATGTCGGATGTTCAAACTATGTGGATCAACATGTTTGATTCCAGCTTTGAGAATAGCAGGGACTCCCTCGATTATTTGTACGTTTCTGGGATGGTATTCTTTTGATCGTCTTTGCTGGTTGTCATGAAGCAATTGGAAGCTAGTTCTTTGAGGCAGCAAGACATACATTCCGAATTGCAGTTTTGCAACTGCAGGAACTTGCACCTTCTACCATACTTTCTCACCAATGAATGGACACTTGTTGGATGCCGTCCATAATAAGTTGAGGTGTGTGTCACCAAGGCAAGCCTCACACAACTGCTTGTCCGATTCCAGCGGGAGGAACACCCAGCCCTTAAAGAGTTGAACTCACCTGGACTGATGTCTCTTCCGGACCTGGCCGCCCAAATTGTATGTCCTACGACAAGCAGGCTCTTTTTGGTGCAGCAAGCAAACGTACTTGTGCCACGTGATGAGCTCCCTCACTACTTCTCTTGTTTGACGCTTGTTTGATCGACTTGTGTGTTTCCATTCTTGAAACCGACCTGTTTGTCCAGTCCTGTCCTCGAGTTTTGGCAAGTGAACACGTCTGCAGGTTAGTGGCTGGGTCTGGAGATCACTTATATATACAGTATATATAGTCAAGTTGGATGTCAATGTGTGGTACACCTACTTGGTAGCTAGGGCATTTTTCGGAAAGGAGGACCTCCCGAGTTGGCAACAGTATAGAGATCCGCCTTGTGACAGGGGGTCGCTCCATTTTGAGATAACAGTTCCAACGCAAATATGCGTGAACGGCGGGCTTCTTGGAAGAGTGTGAACTCCCCTGTCAGAATGAGCCTCCCTATAGGAATTCACCTGGCCTATCTTGCACGGTTGCCTGTGGAGTCCCACCGGCTTTGCTGTCGCGCAGCCCAGGAGTTGCCAGAGGAGGAATCCCGAGCTGAGTCGGGTGCCGATGCGGAGGAGACGTGGTTGGCGTTTGTGGTCGGCGCGTGGTGTAGGGGGAAGCGGAATTTCATGCCTGGCCCCGTGAACTACCAGGAGCAAAGCTAGATGACATAGGACAGAAAAGAGAACCAGTACACGTATCATGCGTATTAGACGGTATGTATTAGACTGAAAGAAAGAAAGAAAGAAAGAAAGACAGAAAGAAAGAAAGAAATGTATTGAAAGAAGGAAGGAAAGGAAGAAAGAAAGACACACAGAAAGACAGTCAGATAGATAGATAGATTCGATTCGATTCGATTCGATTCGATTCGCTTCGCTTCGATTCGATTCGATTCGATTCGATTCGATTCGATTCGATTCGATTAGATTGATAGATTAGATTGAGACGACACAGATCTCTTTGGACTTGCTCTTGCACCTTTCCCGGTCCCTCAGGGTCCGCAGGGCCTCATCGCCTCCCTCCGGCGCCATCGCATCGGATGTCCGTCCCCGTCGGGCGGCTTCCTGCGAAGTGCACTGGGCGCGGCGGTGGAGCGCTTGGCGGTGGACCTCTATGCGCTTGGGACGTTTCTTCCTTTTTTTTTCAGTTGGGTAAGTCGGCAGCTGGTGGGGCTTGTGCAGTGTCGTGTTTTCTTTTGCTTTTTGGTTGTTGCAGTCCAATCCATAAAGCCAAAGCCAGGTGCGATTTTTCCATGGTGCCTTACCGCAAGGGAGTTGAGATTGGCAGTTGAGCCGGCTTTCTGTATCTTAATTTGGGTCACTTGTTTTGGTTGACACGAGGGGGAATGGATTTTCGGATCAGGAGCGTCTCTGAAGGGTTTCTTGTGGAGACAAGTGCAACCTGAATTGTTGGGTGATGACAGCTTGCCACAGATTCCACAGATGCGCTTGTGGTTTTGTCACTCCCTTCAGAATCCATAGACTTAGTTCAGCGAACGATCTACAACACCTGTAGCACACATGACGTCCATGAGGAAATGGAGAGCCACTTCGTGTATGACCCTTGGGCTGCATCTGGGAAAGTCAAGAATCTGCCATTTGACCCTCGAACACACCCGCGTCACCCGCGTTCTGCCGAGTTCTTTCTTGGACACATCCCCTTTTGATGCGTTGGACAACTTATTTTGTTGATACAACTGAATCGCTGATAAGAATCTGATCGATTTTGGTCAAGTTTGGTCTCTTTCCAAAACATTTGGTTCCAAAATTGCTGCCGGTCACGGAGCTGGAAACGTTTGCTTCGCCAGCCCTGCGCGAGACTTTCATGTTAGGAGTTGCTCCAGAACGCGGATGATAACGGCTATGCCGAGGCGACCAGGGCGTGTCAGGTCGTCGGTCTCAGACGACCCGAGACGGTTGTGCGGCGAGACGTGCGGTTCTGAGGAGTTCTGTTACTACTAGTAAGGCACTTGTTACTAGTAGCAAACATTGTTACTACTAGTAAGGCACTTGTTACTAGTAGCGATGCACTTGTTCCTATGGGACGGAGAATTTTACAGACCCATGAGATGCTGTCAGTTAACACTTGCCCTTGTGGCGTGTGAATGGTTCTGCAAGACGAAGCCAGGACACCAGCCCTTGGTTGAAGATGGAGCTCCACCAAGACGAGAATCAGAACTATTTCTTCTTCTCTGCACTCTGGCAGCAAGGTGGCAGCACTGCGGCCCTATACCGCCATGATTACAGTGTCAGATCCAACGAAAGCTCTGTTTGTGCACATATGTGGTCAGAACTGGCGTGTGTCGCGCAGACAACAAATCCATCCTGTTCATTGATTGGCTCAAGAAAGCAAGCTCTGCGGGCCACATGAGCAATGCGCTTTCCTTTTGGGTCGCTGGCACGAGTGTGGCGCGGTTCGTCGCCACGTCACACAGCAGTTGCAGCAGCAGTCGCAGCCGGAGCAGGGCTGACATGGAAAGGTCAGGGAAGCTCTTGTGATGGTCCCGATCCGCCAACGACCACTTCAGTGCCATCTCTCGTCCAGGAGCTTCCATGTGGACTTCGAGTATTGGACCAAACCGCATGGTGGGACGGTGCCCGTGAGGCAACCACTGCTGACAAGCTGCGAACGTTGCTTCAGTTGGGTGGAGCCAGCTTCTACGATGCAGAGGGCTACTTTGTGAAGACACCCATGGTATCTTTGGTGGCCGTAGGCGGTCTGCCCTTGTCTATCTCAGGTTCATCGTTGCAACTGCGATTGGGCGAGTTAAGAGTTCCCGTGCCCCTTGAAAGCATTCGCTCTGGCCTGAAGAGCCAAATGGGCATGACAGCAATGTTCTCATATTTGAACAGGAGAGGCTTGGAGCCAGAAGAAATGTGGGATGTTGTTCAAAAACTCGGGCACTTCTCAGTGGGCCATACTGCCCATCTCTCCTTTGTGCTGGCTGGACACAGCTGTGCCGTGGAGAACGAGTTCAACAGTCAACGTGACGTTGTGCACCTGGGCCGTTTGACCGTGGCGCGCACGCGCTCCCAGAAGGATCCGCCGCTGGTGGTGCAGCGCCCCGAACTGCTCCCCGTCTTTCAGCAGCTTCGGAGCGATGCACAGGCGACGATTCTCTCGAAAGTGGCCGACCGACCAAAGAAGGACAATATCTCCATCCAAGACTGGCAGGAAGCTTTGTATATAGGTTGGCCAGCCGCGAAAGCCCATGTCGCAGTTCTCACTGGGAGTTTGAGGAGCCTGCAGAAGTTGACGGCAAGTATTGATGACGATGGGAAAGAAACCGAGTATCGTGCGTTGCTTTGGCAGATTGCAGTAGCATGCCACTTGCTTCTTCCGGACATGTTTCCGGATCCTGCATCGAAGTTCAAATGGAGGCCACCTGCACATCTGCTTCCGAACGAGCCGTGAGGGCAAAGAACCCTCAAGGCTCCAAAGGTACATTGTCCAAAAAAGGCCTTATATGTGCTTGGCTTCTCATTCTTGACAAAATTTGCACCTTCCCCCTGTTTCTTAGTAGGAGGTCTTGGAAGGTGTCGGCCGTTCATTTCTGTGAGATGCATGTAACTGACGTTTTGCGTGGACGAGGTGAACAATGAGCTCGGCTTGACTGCCAAGGACGAGCGCAGCGGGTTGGTGAGACCAGCGCAGCGCGGTTTTAGCTTGGCGTTGTTTGGGACATCTAAGAATCACTTAGGCATGCTCCATCGAGTTTTTCATACGCTTTCCTTCCTGAAACCATTTTTCTCCCCAAAATACCGGCGCTCCTCAAATCTGGGCGCTTCCAGGACGTGCGGGCCCTCTGTGACGTGAATGCATCCAGCAAGATGGGCAGGGAGAATGTGACAGGGCACAAGGGCATCGGCTGGAAGAGCTGTTTCCAGGCCTTCCGGATGCGAGATTTGGTTGAGACATGTCGCGGCCGTGCGAGCTTGCGTCGTCTGAACACACGGGCTGCGGGGTGAGAAGAGATGAGAAAAACAAGCGAAGGGAGGTCTTGGGGGTGAAAGCTACTAGGAGCAAAGGGCATTTCTACTAGGAGCAAGGATGCTACTAGTAGCTCCTGGCCTTACTACTAGTAACAAGAAGCTACTAGGAGCAAAGGGCATTTCTACTAGGAGAAAGGAGGCTACTAGCGAAGGGAGGTCTTGGGGGTGAAAGCGAGATCTTTACCACTTCAGCATCCACTGGGATACGCAGTTGTTATACGTTGGCTCATGGTTTGCCCCCAAGCATTTTGACGGGGGCAGCTTTGCTTTCCTGTTTTCAGAACAATCCGAAAGGGACTTTCGGCGTTTGAAGCTTTGTCATCGGTTTTGGCGATTGTATTGGGATACATTTTATTTCTAAATATCTACATTTACATTTAACAATGATCAATGATCACGTTCTCAGTATACAATTCCATGCGAAAAAACAGCGCAAACCCTAAACCCAAAGCCCCAAACCGATAATTCTTATAGTTGATTGGTGGGGGTGAACGATGCGTCCTGGCACTAGTCATACCATGTTACACCCCAAGTGAGCCACCTTTAGGGGAGTTGAGTCTCGGACTGTGAGCCAAAGATGTCCGGATTCAATTCTGGCAGTTTTGTTTGCCAACAAACAGTTTAAGGTGGTGCAAGTTTTCTTCCTTCAATAGCACAGCAAACAGATGCACAGCAGATGCATGATGCAACAACTGTCCTTCATAATATGGTGAAACGCTAATTGTAATTAAGTAGGGAAATCTTTTCTTTTTGTGGCTTGTCTCGCCTGGTTTGGCCATCCATGGACTTCATGTGTTTTGCTTGAGCAATCTCATCCCTGGGTCTCTCCTGATTCCAAGATTTGATCGGCCATCGTGGCTCGTTCTTCTTTGTGCCGTGTGCTTGAAGTGAACATTTCCTGCAAAGAACGCTACGTTCGGGGCTCCTGGCATCGCTACTAGGAGCAAGGTTCGCTAAGAGGAACAAAGGGCATCGCTACTAGGGGCGCCCCAAGTCGTGAATCTCGGGTTTTGAACTCACGAACTCGAACATGCCAATCCGAGACTACGCCATCAACAGCAGTTTCGAAAGGTATGCCTTGTTTGACTATAGTGCTTAGTAGGAATGAGGGTAGGTGGATCCAAAGGAATCTCTATTGTCTCAATCCCTCATTCTGTACTATAAGCACTAGTCAGTTTTTGGTTCTGGCTGCAGATTGTGGCTGCTTCCATCTGGCGGCATCAGAAACTTTTGGAGGGTCGACTGCAGATCCGCCCGTTTGATCATAGGTGGGCCCCTCCACATGCAGCACTTTGCTGGGTTCACTCAAGTCCAGGAAAGGGTGTTTCTGGAAGTGCATTTCAAGCGATCCCCAAGATAAGAGGATATATCTTGCAGAGACCCAAAGAAAGCATGGGAAATCGTGCTATGTTTCTGTTGTGGCCAGGTCTCTGATTGCCCTCACATGCTTTCCGGAAGCTTCACCTTCAAGTTTGATGTGAAGAAGTTGGGCAAGATGGGCTATGTCACACCCACTTGGGTCCACGAGGAGGAGGGGACTCGGAAGACGTGCTGCTTGGCACCCGGAAACGCAAAACGAATCCAGGTGTATCCATGTCATGCTTGAGGCCCTCAGGCCAAGAGAGCAGCAGAGCACACAGTCGTTGTGCTTTTGGAGAATTCGGGAGAATCAATGGAGACCAAATGTGAGGACAACGCAGCACAGTCTCGGCTCCAGACCTTTGATGTTTCAGCTTTCATTTGTGTTTCCTGGAACACGGTGGGAGCATTGAGGCGCAATCTCTTGTCTCTGTCCTGCCAGGAGCTCCACCAGCTTCCGCCAGAGGTTTGGGAGGCCTACGATGCTGGCTACACTGTGACCTACTTGCCCTTGAGGACGGGACGGTAGAACGAAACTGTTTGGTCAAACGAATTGGATGTTCTCTGTCGATTTGTATGACTTTATAGCCTTTTTCTTTCCGAGAATCCTGAGAACAAAAAGTCACTAGTAGCAAGGACGCTATCAGGTGGAGGCCATCGCAAGTAGGTTGGAGGCCATCGCTCCGAACGTAACAAGAAGCTACGAACGGCTCGCAAGGATCTAAAAAGCCATCGGTCCAAGACTCCATCGGCAGATGGTGGTCTTGGAGCGATCGGGAGATACAGAAGAAAGGGCATTCACCGCGGCCAACCTGGGGTGGTCTCACCATTGCATTCGCCGAAAGAGGCCTACCTAAAAGAGGGCTCGAGGCTCTACTCCCCCAACTGGTCACTTCATTTTCTAAATGTTGAGCTGGTGCAGACGAATTGGCCATACCAAGGATCTAAGGAGATTTCAGTCAAACACCTCAAAACCACCTCGAACACAGCAAAACAGAGGTTAGGTGAGCCTCTCAGAGAATTCAGACGCTCGGTGTTCACGGGCAAGAAGGATTATCTCCTTGAGGGTCAGAAAGTGGTCCATCGATTCGAAACGCTCGAAATCTCACATCCCTGAGAGTAAGAGACGCTCGTTGATGCCGTTCCGAGCACCATGATTGAAGGTCCAGGGATTTGTAGCCAGTTTTCAGGGGAAAATGCCAAAGCTCCAGTCAGCTTCTCGGAGAATCTTCCTTGTGATTTGGGCAGGCCGGGCACAGAAGAGGGCGTAGAACTGGCATTGGCAGACTTAGAGGTGCGGAGCGGAGGGCGGTGTGGAAACTGCGCGGAGGGCGGCTGGAAAATTCAAGGAGATGTGCCTCTTGGTAGTCAAGGTTCGGTCCGTCAAAGAACCTTGTACGGCCTGGGGTATTTTGTGAAGTAGGCAGAGGCTATTTCGGCACAGGGTTACCACGAAAGGTTGCTCGATTCACCATGCTGGGACAAGACGTTGGATAGGTGAGCAAAACTGTTGTTTGTTGAGTGTCCCTGGTGGGAAAAGCTACGTACATACAGGAAGGTCGCAAGTCCTGAACATCCATTGCATGCAGGTTGTTGCATGACGATGCTTTGCTGCAAGTTTTTAGACGTTTGATAATCCCTGGGTCCCTTACAGGTTTGTGTGTGGCGGAATTTTTGGCGCTGTGCGTTGCTCCGGCCGCCAGTGTTTCCAAACTCCAAGACGAAGAGACTACAATAGCCAAGAGAGTAGCGATGGCCTCCACCCTAGTAACGCCCTAGTAATGATGGCCTCCAACCGAAGAGCGATGGCCTCCAACCTACTAGCGATGGCCTCCACCCTAGTCAGTGAAGCTCCAGACATCTCCGCTCTCCTTCCAGGAGCATTTGCCATGTCTTCTCTTTCTGCGACGGCTACAACGCTTGGAGTTTCGCTTTCCGCCGTCCACGCCCCGCTCGCCGACCTGCGACGATCGGCGAACGAGCCTCGACGCTCGCTGGGTGAGCTTCAGTCTTGAGGCCCGGCCTGGCGGCAAGTCCAGAGCTTCCAATGACTCGGAATTCTTCAAGCTAGTCACCATCATTTGGAGAACTTGACTCAAAGACCCTTCAACGAAAACTCCCCTGGCGCAAACCTGGCTCCTCTCAGGTCCATGGACCTGGCCGGAAGGCGGTGCGGGCCAGCCGAGCAGGACGCTTCGGGGCGGAGGGGTGGAACACTTGACCGGTGACGGCATCCTCCGTCGAACGGACAAGGACTTAGGGCAACAAGATTGGGTGATAGATGCAAGAAACTGGCATTTCCACCCAAAAGTGTGGAGGGCTGTATCTCAACGCCAACGCCGAATTCCACATGCAGAAACTGTGAGCGTGCTTGACAAGATCCCACTTCCACATGGCAAGCCAAGCTGGTATTGAGCTTGGCATGTGAGACCGATTCTTCTGCCGCACGGTATCGCAAGATTTTGGAGAGATCTGAGTCGCTTCACCCTGGCAAAAGCCCGTACACTCCACCCAGCAGCTTGGGCAGCGATGAAAAAGAACCGCCAGGAGGAGATTCGTGGCGGACGTTCTTGCTGCACCACCACCAAGTGTCGTGGGAGCAGAAAGACATGTGCCTCACCCTGGCCTTTCCAATTGCTGAGGAGAGGGTGATCGGGATGGCACGGTGAGAAGCTATTAGAAACAAGTGCCTTACTAGTGCCTTACTAGTAGTAACAAGTGCCTTACTAGTAGTAACAAGAAGCTATTAGTTAATTCAATTCTAATAGCTTTTTGTTACTACTAGTAAGGCACCTGTTACTACTAGCGTGGCACTTGTTTGAGGAGAGGGTGATCGGGATGGCACGGTGTTTGAGTTGCTGCTGGCCATCAGAGTGGGGAGATTCAAATCCAGAGTGGGCCAAATCGGCACCGAAGGGACCCCTGATTCGGTGTGCATGGCACACTTTCAATCGCACATCCCTCGACGAAAATAGCGACTCAAAGCGCTTTGACCCCCGGCTCTTATCCCCAGGACGGGGAACAGCTGATGCCTCAGGCGGGACTGAACCAGAAGGACATACTGACAGAAGCAGTTCCTGCCAATGACAACAGCCTCCAATCTAGGAGAAGAGATTCGTTGACCAAAAAAGGACTTTGAATGTTTGAGTTGAGGTCAATATGAGTTTGTGAAAAGTTGAATAATCCGATTTTGTCAAAGGTTGAGTCTTCCTGCGTTTGTTCTGGGTGCTTTGCCAATCTACTTCACAAAGACATTCATACCATCCTACCATGTGCAAATCATATAATCTTTTATGACTTGTGGCCGCCGCAATGGAGGCCCTCTACTGCTTGCTGCCAGTGCGGAATCTCGGCTTCGCCTTTTGCATTGATGGCCCGTTTGAGCTGATTGCCAGCAGGGGTGACCTGCATGAGGGCAGCTGGCGGAACCAGGCCAAGAGGGTGTCACTGAAGAGGAAAGGCGGTGCCAAGTGATGAAGGTCCATGTTGCCTGTTTGACCCAGCAAAAGAGAGTCTTGATGTTTGCATCAGTCATCATTTCGGCGCAATCCTGCGGTAAACTGGGCGGGTCATGTCCAACTTCCTCTTGGCAGAGCTACCGAAGCACAAGTTGGCTTTGTGATTCGCTTCACCAACCCACCAACCCAGGATACTTTTGCAACTTCACCCATCACGAGTGCGTTCAAAGTGTGAGAAGGGACTTTGGAACATCTTGCTGATGCACACTGTGCTCATTCCCTCGCGGCTACTGATAAGCATCGCAAAGCTTCGCAGGTGCTTTGTGAAGCTTTGCCCCATGCCTTTGCAAACGCATTGGAGATGCCTTTTGGATGCAGAGAGGTGGTGCCTGAAGTTCCTTTGGGAGCAACTCTCTCTCTCTCTCTCTCTCTGTCTTTGTCTCTGTCTCTATTGTCTCTGTCTCTGTCTCTGTCTTTGTCTCTGTCTCTGTCTCTGTCTCTCTCTCTCTCACTCTCTCTCTCTCTCTCTTTGTTTGTCTCTCCGTCCGTCTGTCCATCCGTCCGTCCGTCGGTCGGTCGGTCAGTCGGTCTGTCTGTCTGTGTCTTGTTCAAATTGAACAGATTTTGGTAAGTCATCTCTGCAAAAGTGCACAAGATCACTTAAAGGGAGACTGAGCTTTCAGGAAGGATCCCTTCTACTGTCCCTGGGCCCCAGGTTGAGTGCGACAACAGGTATCCGAAATGAGAGAGCAGGAACGTTTGATTCACACAGCTTTTTGATCCAATGGAGCCCTATGGAATAGAAGGTCAGTCTATCCTGTGGACATGAGGCATCCTTCCCTGGCGCCGCATGCCTTGGCTTTTCTGGGCCATGCTGAGCCTTCGCCTTTTTGGCAAGCAGTCCATGCCCGTGACCTCGTCCTGAGAGAAAAAAACACGGTCCAAGGGTCGTTCCAGGGCAGGCAGGAACTGAAGGAAGTGGATTGTGCAGGATTTATATGAGCAGATAACCTGCCTCTCCACACTGGCATATTGCTTTGGAGAAGGCAAGGAGCGACTTCGAGATTCTTCAACGTCTTCGGATTGCGTTCTGAAAGACCTAGGTCTTCTGGAGCAAATGCATGGTACCGCCTGTGTGCCTTTGGAGGCTACAAGTGGGGGCAAGTGGAATGTAACCTTCGATCCGGCCCATGGAAGAGATATTGGATGTGTTTCATGCGCCTGGAACTCCGGAAGCTGCTATTGCAAGCAAGCTCATTTTTCATCATTGTTGAAGCCGAACTTGCAGCCTATTTCTTGCCCTATCATTGTGGCTTAAGCCGTCAAGACTCATTTAATGCCTTGAATTGTTCCAAGAGTTTGCTGCACGTCACAATCGCAGAGGACGGTGGCTTGGATCTACCCGAGAATTGCTTGTTGCGACCAGGAGGCATGGCACGCCGTGGGAGTAAATCCTATCGTCTATTTTGGTCAGGTGGTCAAGGGGTCCAGAAGCTATTGCAGCATTGGTGCTCCAAAATCAGGGTCGTCCTATTCTTGCTCCGTTGAAGCATCTGGCCCACGACTCTTCACCATCCCACAAGAGATCAATCACCATTCATGTACGAATCCAAAAGAGACGTCCAAATCACCATGCCAAATCTTGAAGAGATGTCCACGAAACTGCCGCCCCCCAGATCAACCCCCGCATTTCAGTGTCTTCACGAGGATCAGTGAAATCACTGAAGAGTTCGGATCAGGTGAAATTTGTGTCTTCACAAGGAGTTTTCGGTTCCAAGTCCGTCACAGACAGACCCTGTCAGGCGGTCTGGCGCTGGGCGCCTCACGGCTGGTGCCGGCAGAACTGCTCCTGCGGAGCTGTGGAAAGCGCTGGGCGCGGGCAACGACTTCAGCGCTGGGCTTGGAGGTGACCTCTTTTTTCCCCCACACTGTTGTGGTCACACTAGGGGATCTTACGGTAGTAGTTAAGGCCGGGTTCTGATCGGAGGTTCTCATCGGCGTGTGCCTTTTTTTAAAATAATCTTTTTGCAACAGCCAGTTTGGTTGATGAGCGAACTGGTGGCCATAGTCCAAACTTCTCGTCAGATCTTTGGTGAGTAGACAGACAGTGTTTCTTGGCGTCTCCATGCGTTGAAGAGCGCCAGGAGATTGGCTTAGAGCATTGGCTGCAGATCTTGCGCTTCAGAGATTCGGATTGGCCCAAAGGCCTGTGTGGCTCATGGCTCTCTGGTGAGGCCGCTTTCGGGAAGGGAAGAGAGATCTGGGATCTTAAACTGCAAAGAACTGAGGGAGAGTGAATAGAGACAGCCACGCAACAGAATTCTCCAACAGCATCATCATCATCATAATAATAGTAGTAGTAGTAGCAGCAGCAGCACTAGTAGTATTAGTAGTATTAGTAGTAGTCGTCGCACTAGCATTATTACTATTGTTATTAATATTATTAATATTAGTAGTAGTAGTAGTCGTACTAGTAGTAGTCGTACTAGTAGTAGTCGTGCTAGTAGTAGTAGTAGTAGTAGTAGTAGTAGTAGTAGTAGTAGTAGTA